CCCTTTTCATTATTTTTTTTTTTTTTTTTATCACTTTTAATTCGATCACAGGGAATGCAAATATCCCCTATAACTTCAATGGGCATTGTCATATATTCTTTTTTTAGAATCTGCGGTCTATCAGATTCTAGATATCTCCTCTGCCCTTACATTATCTAATCTCATCAAGATTGGTGTGATCAGATGCTTTCCAAATGTACAAATGGCGCTGTTTATATCCTACGAAACTGAAGTGTTGAAATGCTTGTAGCTTCCAGTTTCTTGGACTATAGAGCTGATTGGCACCATTCCTGACTCCAATCAGCTCTATGGTCATCTGGCAGAAACACCGGCTGCATTCTCAGGTTCCCCCCGATGGTACGGAACTGCCCGAGAAGGCTGAGGAAGGCATCAAGGGAGGGGGGACATCATCTCCCAGTGCTTGTAAAAGCAATCCTGCTGCTAATTAGCCACTAGGATTAATTTTACATGAAAGCTGATCGTCAGCTGAAAAAAACGATACCAGGATGATGCCTGCAGCTGTAGGCATCATCCTGGTATAACCATTCAAAGTCCAGTGATTTCCCAGTACTTCGTTGGTCTTTGTTGGGTATATATGCCATGTTCTTTTTATTTATTTTTTTTCCCTTATGGAAAAAGGATGACACCAAGTCCCAAACTATCTTGCCACTGCTCCCCATGTAGACTGGGTATCCGGGGGGCTCTTTTTCCTCATAAATCCGAAACTTATATGTATAGCCTGTTGCACTCTCACAGGTCTTATACATCTTGACCTCATATCTGGCACGTTTGCTGGGGAGAAATTGTTTGAATGCAAGCGGCCAGAAACTTGAATAAGGGGACTTATCAACATAGATGGTTTTTTGGGGAGTATAGACATCTGCAAATATTTGGTTAAGGTGATTTACGAGGGGCCGAATTTCGTTGCAGCTGATAGAATTCAGGGTCACCCTGAGGACGACAGTGTTTGAAATGCATTAAAAAAAGTCTTTGAAATGCATAAAACACATTATACTCTCATATCTATGCCTGGCCATGGCAGCAGAGAGCACTGGCATATGATGAATCGTGTCTATAGACCAATATAACCGCAATTTATTTTTTAAGTAATGCTTATGTTGAGGGTTAGGCCCAAAAAAATTTTAAATTTGGAACCGTAATGGGTTTCCATGCGAATGGCCTGGCAAGGTTTGAAATTGGGTTGGCAGCGATAAATTGTTGTGCATATAAATTGCTTTGATCCACAATCAATGCATGCAGATCTTCTGTGAAAAACGGCTCCAAAAAAAATCAAGGGGAGTTGTTAAATTTGCTGTTTTTCCACCTGAATTCCAGGTTTGGGAATGAATGGGGGGGGAGTACGGGTGCTGCAGAATTTTTGGGCTGCCAATTGGGATTTGCAAGCACATCCGGAGGGATACAAGGGGCTCTACGGGCCTATGTTCGAATTTTTGGTGGCTGCGGGACAATACTTGTGCTCGCCACTGCACCAGCTTGTACTGCACTTATGGGACTCGCCACTTCACTAAGTGATACTGCAGTGCTGCTATGTGAAAGACCAAGATGTAATAGGCCGCTGGTGCTCACCAGATCACCAAAAGGTACAGCGGAACTAGTACTGGCACTTTGCTGCATATGAGAGTCATCAAAATTTACCGGCAAGTGCTAACAGAGATCAGGCCTGATTCAGTTTTGTGTGCAATGTATCAAGTGATAGTGAAATTAAATAGTAGATTGATGTAATTCTAAATGCATGCTGGTTATGTTCTGTAAATATCTGTGATAGGATTTTTGTTTTTTTAAATGTCCAGGCAAGCCCAAATTAGAATTAAAACACCACACAGGCTTTAGGTGTATGTTCAGGGCTCCAAATTGTGATCCCACCACTTACCTTTCCCTTTAGTACACTGACAAATTGATTTGAGTTAAAGCCACAAATGAGTGTGCAGACTGGAAATTGCACTGGAACTCAAATAGAGGAATGTGTGGAGGTGGAGTGTGCTATGATATCCAAGTATCTTCCATGTAGAGACCTGCCTTGGTTTAGGAAGCTGTAAAATATTTGACCTTACAGGTACTGTTGAAATACTAGCAGGTTCACTTAAATAGGAAAAATCTCATTGCAACAATATCCCAGGCTCCTCTGAATGACAGAGTGCGCAGCTCACTGTACAAGGGCGGACAGGCAGGTAAGTAGCTAATACAGAACTGACCAAGTGTATCTCTTCGGCAATAAAATTCCTACCGGTTTGCCCTTTTTTTAAAAAAAATTTTTTTACCTAAAGTTCCACTTTAATGTGTACACCGGTAGGTGACCGTTTCATTTTATTTTCGATAATTTGTAAAACCAAGCTTGTAATTCCTTTTCCCTGATCCTCCACTCATGACTTTACCATTAAGTTCAACAGTACAATCATTGGTTCTTCCCCTCATGCCAGGGTGCTAAGTGTAATCCTAGACTCTGACCTCTCCTTCGGGCCAAAAAAAATCCAATCACTGGTTAAGTCCTGCCGCCTCAACCTCCATCATTTTCCAAAATCTGCCCCTTCCTGACTAATGACCGCACAAAACTTAACCACGCCTTGGTTATATCCTGCCTTGATTACTGCAACTCCCCCCCCCCTCACTTGTCCTACTGTTACACAGGCTATCCCCCCTTCAGTCTATTATGAATGATGCTGGACTTACAGTGCCTTGAAAAAGCATTCATACCCCCTTGAAATTTTTCACATTTTGTCATGTTACAACCAAAAACGTAAATGTATTCTATTGGGATTTTATGTGATAGGCCAACACAAAGTGGCACATAATTGCAAAGTGGAAGGAAAATGATAAATAGTTCTCAAAATGTTTTACAAACATCTGAAAAGTGTGGCGTGCATTTGTATTCAGCCCCCTTGAGTCACTACTTTGTAGAACCATCTTTCGCTGCAATTACAATTGCAAGTCTTTTTGGGCATGTCTCTACCAGCTTTGCACATCTAGAGAGTGACATTGTTTGCCCATTCTTCTTTGCAAAATAGCTCAAGTTCTGTCAGATTGGATTGAGAGCGATTTTCAGGTCTTGCAACTGATTCTCAATTGGATTTAGGTCTGACTGGGCCATTTTAACACATGAATATGCTTTGATCTAAACCATTCCTTTGTAGCTCTGGCTGTATTTTTAGGGTCGTTGTCCTGCTGGAAGGTGAACCTCCACCCCAGGCAATTCTTTTGCAGACTGTAACAGGTTTTCTTCCAAGATTTCCTTGTATTTGGCTCCATCTATCTTCCCATCAACTCTGAGCAGCTTCCCTGTCCCTGCTGAAGAAAAACATCCCCACATCATGATGCTGCCACCATCATGTTTCATGGTGGGGATGGGGGTGTGTTTAGAGTAATGCGCGGAGTTAGTTTTCCACCACACAGTGTTTCGCTTTTAGGACAAAAAGTTCAATTCTGGTCTTATCTGACCAGGTCACCTTTTTCCACAAGTTTGGCGAGTACCCCGTATGGCTTCTCGCAAACGGGACTTCTTATGGCTTTCTTTAAACAATAGCTTTCTTCTTGCCACTCTTCCATAAAGTCCAGATTTTTAGAGTTTTACGACTAATAGTTGTCCTGTGGACAGATCCTCCCATCTGAGCTGTGGAGCTTTGCAACTCCTCCAGAGTTACCTTCGGCCTCTTGGCTGCTTCTCTGATTAATGCTCTCCTTGCCTGGCTTGTCGGTTTAGGTGGACGGCCGTGTCTTGGTAGGTTTGCAGTTGTGCAATACTTTTCCCATTTTTGGATGATGTTCAAAGCTTGGGATATTTATAACCTAACCCTACTTTAATCTTATCCACAACTTTATCCCTGACCTGTCTGGTGTGTTCTTTGGCTTTCATGATGCTGTCTCTAACAAATCTATGAGGGCTTCACAGAACAGCTGTATTTATACTGAAATTAAATTACACACAGGAGGATTCTATTTACTAATTAGGTGACTTCTGAGGGCAGTTGGTTCCACTAGATTTTAGTTAGGGGTATTAGAGTAAAGGGGGCTGAATACAAATGCAAACATATAGCCAGTGCTACAATGGAATGGTTTAGATCAAAGCATATTCGTGTGTTTTTAATGGCCCTGTCAAAGTCCAGACCTAAATCCAATTGAAAATCTGTGGCAAGACTTGAAAATTGCTGTTCACAGACGCTCTCCATCCAACCTGACAGAATTTTTGAACTATTTTGGAAAGAAGAGTAAGCAAACAATTTCACTCTAGATGTGCAAAGCTGGTAGAGACATACCCAAAAGACTTGCAGCTGTAATTGCAACGAAAGGTGGTTTTACAAAGTATTGACTCGGGGACTGAATACAAATGCACACCACACTTTTAAGATATTTATTTGTCAAACATTTTGAAAACCATTTCATTTTCCTTCCACTTCACAATTATGTGCCACCTTTTTGGTTGTAATAAGACAAAAAGTGAAAAATTTCAAGGGGTATGGATACTTTTTCAAGGCACTGTATATACCTTACCGACGGATTAGCGACTGCTGCCCCTCTGCCAATTCCTTCACTAGCGTCCGATAACCTAATGTATAAAATTCAACCAAACTAACCAAAACATACAAAGCCATCCACAACACTGCCCATGTTGCTCTCTAGCTTCCTCGTCACCTCCAGGACTTCTCCAGAGCCTCTCCCATACTCTGGCCTACCCCAGTATGTCCGGTCAGCCCCTACCCTGTCTGCTTTTAGGCGATCTTTGAAAACTTGCTTATTCAGGGAAGCGTACCCCACCTTCGTCTAAGAACTGTATTTGAGTCACCTCCATCAGATCATCCCCCTGCAGCTATCACCTTTTGTACCACCTTCTCTTCCTTTAGATTGTAGCCTCAATGAGCAGGGCCCTCTTATTCCTTCAGTATTGAATTGTATTGTAAATCACTGTGCAAACTGTTGGTGCTATATAAATCCTGTATAATAATAATTTGTAATATAAAACATAACAAAATCTTAATGTTTTTTTTCTTCTTTCTAGTTCTGCATATGACAACGTGAACAAAGTTCGAGTTGCTATCAAGAAAATCAGCCCTTTTGAACATCAAACATACTGCCAGAGAACACTGAGAGAGATCAAAATTTTGTTGCGCTTCAAGCATGAGAATATTATTGGAATAAATGATATTATCCGAGCTCCAACTATCGAGCAAATGAAAGATGTGTATCCTTTTCTTAACTATAGCTATGAAACCTGTTTTCCAGCTTTGTGTCAAATGTTTTTTTTTTTTTTTTACACTTCTTAAAGTGCAATCAGCAGGGGACAATGTATAATATGGTTTGCCAGCCTTTTTTTTTTTTTTTTTTTTTTTTTTTTGTGTGTAGGTTTTCATTTTACATATTTAGGGCTCATCCACAAGGGTGCAGAGGCACCTACAGCATAGCATGCAAGGGTATTCATGGACTGTTCTTGCAGCTTTTTTTTTTTTTTTTTTTTTTTGCAAGTGTCCAATCTCCTGAAGGCAGAAGCCTAACCCAGCGTAACTACATACTTCATCCTGTGTCCCTTAATGCATATCAACTTTTTTTTTTGTGTGCGTGTGTTCGCATTTTGTGAACTTCAGCGTCTTGAAGCAGGAAAAACTGGGATTGGAATGGTTACATGACAGTTTTTGCTGCAATGCTGCACCAGGCCATAAATCAGTCCACCTTTCTGGCTATCCATTGTGGGATAGGATATACATATGCAAATATAGTTGTTTTGAGCATAATTTTGTGTTTTTTTGTAATTAGTACTGTTGCACATATTTGCATCAGCATTTCTATGTATCTAAACACAGATGTGTACATTTATGGGTAGTGGTGGAAGTGAGTTTGGTTTAATCCTGTTCCTAATCCGAATAAGATTGTCTACTGGAAATGTATCAAATCTAACAATCTGCCAATCTACTAAGGGGACTGGGTAATTCATGAACACTGTTTTTCATCACACATGCATCATACATCATCCGTTTTAAGAACTGTATTTGAGTCACCTCCATCAGATCATCCCCTGCAAGAACCTTACAAGACATCAAATTGAAGAAGCTCTTCTAATAAACCAAATTCAGCAATTGTCCTAAGCTTATACTGACGCTGAAGGCAAAAGCCTCATTGTCTACTAAATTAACACCAACCTAGCATGGGCAGCTAGCCCAGAAAATGTTAAAGGCCTACTCCAGTCTGTGTAGAAATTCTCATTATGTACAGCGATAGGCTCATCTTGATCACAGCATTTATTTCACTCCTAATATATGCATTATATAATTCTGCCACAAATGTGCCTCATCAGGTCACAAGGAAGGCTTCTTCAACTCTTTCGATTGACTGCCATTGCTCACTATAGTGAACAGCAACCGATGGCATACCATCCCTGTTGTAGTCCCAAAAAGCTTTGCTGTGGTCTTTACCTCACCACAGCTAATAGTGAGTGAATCCTTATGGAAGATCTTTGGGATTTCCCCCTGCCCTATCAAGTGATTGCCTGGCTGCAGACCAGTCTGTCAGCAACTGTCCTGCAGAGACACCAAGTGTCACTACAGTTCAGAGGCACTGGGAAATATATTGGATAAGACATGCAAAAACTTTCGTTCTTTCAGAATCTGTCCATAGTAGAAAGCTCAGTTGCCTAGAACTGACATCACAGACAATATAAAGTAAGATTTCAGAGAAATTGTGATGCAAGTTTCATGTTTTAGGGTGTTGGAGCTCTGTGTGAGGGAGAGGAATCTATTACAGAAACGTTAATTTAATCCTGGAGTTCAGGATTGTGGAATTTAAAGTGGTTGTAAGGGTAATTTGTCTTTTAAATAACATACTTGTTTTGTGCGGTGGTCACAGAACAGCCTGAATCCTCTTCTCGGGTCCCCCATCAGTGCTCTGGGCTCCTCCTCCATTTGCCGCCATAGGATGCCATTTCCTATGATGGCACACATGTTGACTTGATCCTGAACCTTGCTCTGTGCATCTGACAGTGCGTCTCGGCCCTGCTCCCTCGTCACTGGTTTTGATTAACGGCAGCAGGACAGTGTGAGTTAGGAGACATGGGCACATTTACGGATATTAGATTAGGAGAAGTGGCTGTGTCCGTGCAGCCACTGTATTCCGACAGACATAAATGGGACTGTGTACACAGGGGTTCATGAGACACTTGTGCTTTCCTGTGCAGGTAAACAGGTCCTCAATCACTGCCACACACCAATCCCAGTGTCACCATAAGGTCTCATTCACACAGGATGTGTCACTTACCTTGCGTTTGGGTTATGTTTTCCCCTACCGTCTTTCAGGCCAGCACTCTGAGAGACCTCGGCTCCTCCCCATCTGAGGAAACACCTCCACCTACAATAAAAAAGCTCCACTCCCCTCTGACCTCAGTTCAGGTGTTTCCTCCGGTGGGGAGACACGAGGAGGCGCAGGAGGACGATAGGGGAGCCGAGGGCCGGATAGCCGGCTGTGAGGCCCGACGCAGCCGGGAGTGAAGGCCGGAGTGTCCGGCTGCATATCCTCCCAGGGCAGGCTGCCAGCAGTGAGAGTGCATCCCGGGGGACGGGACAGGGCACTTACCTGCTCTTCGCCCCCCGGCCCCCTCCGGCGAGGGGGGGGTGTCGGGGTGGCCGTGGTGAGGTCTGGGGAGGATCGGGGGGAGTTCCGCTCCTTCCCATGCTGGCGGTCTGAGGGCTTTGCCGGGCCGGACGTCGGGAGACGGCGGTTTCCGGCGGAAGGGGCGGGGCTTCGCCCAGGGCCGCGACTTCCGCTTCCGGTCGCGGCCTTCACACCACGGCGGCGCGAAATTCGAATGTGGCGGTGCGGTGCACAGCGGTCTGGGGGACAGACCTGCACCAGGCGACCACCCTCCGGTACGGGATGTCGGAGGCACCGGGACCAGGAGATGCCAGCACCAGCCAGTCGCAGGTAAGGTGCCTCAGTGAGGCCTCCCCTACCTGTGGGCCCCTAGCAGAAGGTAGGGCAAGGGGTCTGCGGTTTTTCAGGCCCTTGTTGCTCTGCCGGGAAGCAGGGGGGGGGGGGGGGGGTGTTTAGTGTCGGACTGATTGGGCTTCCCCCCCCCCCCCCCCCCCCCCCCCCCCTTTTTCTTTTGTGTCTTGCAGGGCAAGGCCCGAGCTAAACTTAGGCACCAGGAGCCCAAGCGGAGATGCCCTTCCTGTAAGGAAGTTCTAAAAGAATCTTGGCGAAAGGTTCTTTGTGGCCCATGTATACAGGGGTTGGTGAGGGAGGAGAAGCCGGAACAGGGGGACCTAGCTAGGTCAGTGAAGGAGTTGGCTACCACCTTCGACTCCTTCAAGTCCCTCATGGAGAGGTTTGCCCTCCCATTACCTACACTTCCCCCCCCCCCCCCCCCCCCCCCAGGTGGCTTCGGTGAGTCGTCGGGAACCCCTTATGACTGGGGAGGAACCAGTGGGGGACTCCCAGTCTGAGGAGGAATCAGCGGGTGAGGGTCCCTCAGAGGAAGGGAGGGGCCCCTCCCGGTATAAGTTGACCCTAGAGGAGGTTGATGAGCTCCTGGGGGCTATATACGAAACCCTGGACATTAAGGAGGAGGTTAAGGCCTTATCTCTCCACGACCAAATGTATCAGGGATTGGAGGAGCACCAGCACAGAATGTTTCCTGTGCATGACATTTTGGTAGACACGATTAAGAAGGAGTGGCAAGACCCGGAAAGGAAACCGTTCTTCTCAAAAGCGTTGAGGAGGAGGTTTCCGTTTTCGGAAGACCCGGAGGCGGTCTGGAACAAGAGCCCCAGGCTAGACGCGGCCTTTTCCCAAACAACCAGGAGAACTGACCTAGCGTTTGAGGACATGGGGGTCTTACCGGACTTATTGGACAGAAGGGCAGAGTCTCTCCTTAGGAAGGCCTGGGACTCGACCCTGTACAACCTGAAACCGGCCATGGCTACGACAGTGGTAGCCAGGAACTTAGAGTATTGGCTTACGCAATTACAGGCCCATATTGTGGCAGACTCTCCCAAGGAAAAAATCTTGGCCTCTTTTGAGACCCTTTTGCAAGGAGTGGGGTATATTGCGGATGCTTCCGCAGAGTCGGTGAGATTGGGGGCCAGGTCTGCTGCCCTGACCAATTCAGCCAGAAGGGCGCTGTGGCTAAAGACATGGCAGGGGGACATCACTTCAAAAGTTAGGTTATGCGGCATCCCCCTCACAGGAGACTGTCTGTTCGGCCCGGGGTTGGAGGAATTATTGGACCGGACAGCTGATAGGAAAAAGTCCTTCCCCCTCAAGAGGAAAATGCAGGAGGGGGGGACACGGAAGGCCCGCCCGGCAAAGAGGCTGAGCCTGCGACCGCCTGGTCAGGGTAGGTCGGCTGGACAGAGAGGTAGGGGAAGAGGGGGGGCGATTTTTCGCCCTCCTGAGCAGCCCCAAAAACCAAGGTGACTTGGTTCCTCCTGTGGGGGGAAGATTGGCGGCATTCCTCCCACAGTGGGAAGCCGTGGTCACCAGCCCCTTCATTTTGGATGTCATCCGAAGGGGTTACCGGTTAGAATTTCTGAGACCGCCACCCGAGACTTTTCTAGTGACGACCCGTCCAAGGGATCCGACGAAGGACGCGGCTCTGGTGGGCGCTTTGGAGATTCTGGAGTCCCAGGGGGTCATCTCCAGGGTTCCGGTAGCGGAGCGAGGGAAGGGAGTTTATTCCCATGTGTTTGTGGTTCAAAAGCCGTCTGGGGCGTTCAGACTGATTTTGAACCTGAAACCCTTGAACAAGTCAGTACGTTACCGGAGGTTCCGCATGGATTCCATTTTTACAATCAGGTCCCTAATCCCACCAGGTGCATTCATGGCATCCATAGACTTGAAGGACGCCTACCTACACGTGCCCGTGGCGGAAGCCTCTCAGAGGTTCCTCAGGTTGGCAGTGGGGGGGGAGGAAGGAATTCGACACTGGCAGTTCAGGGCTCTTCCATTCGGCCTTTCCTCCTCGCCAAGAGTATTCACCAAGGTTCTGTCGGAGGCACTGATTTCTATCCGCTTGAGGGGGATTTCAGTGGTGGCCTATCTGGACGATTTGCTGCTCTTCGCAGATTCAGAGGCTCACTTACGGCAAGACCTGGTTATAGTGAGGAACCATCTGGAAAGCTTGGGGTGGGTTTTGAATCTGGAGAAGTCCTGCCTGGTGCCTTCTCAGAAGGTGATTTACTTGGGCTACACTCTAGA